TAATCTTACTGTTGAAAAATATTAAGCTTATTAACCTTATAACTCTAGATAAATCCCCTCTAAGCAGCCTATACGTATTAAACACTATAAGCAGGCTGCCTCAGCAGCCTTATGAGAGGTAGAGGCTTAGGGATAATACCTCCTCCTAGTACTTTGCAGCAGGAGAGCACCTATAATAGTAATAAGTAGCTGCCTCCTCCTAGCCTATTAAGCGCTAATAAGCGTATTAGTAATAGTAATAAGCAGCTATTAAGTGGTTTTTAGGGAAACTAATATAGAGCACTTACTTTATATTAGTAGAAGGGTTATATTACCCTACTAAGCCTTACTGAAATAAGATAAGCACTAAAATAAATACTTATAATTGCAGGTAATTATAAGTAATTTTAAGTAATTACTTAGAGGTTAAGCTGTAGTTAGGTTAAAAAAAAAAAGGCTATCTATTAAACTTTAGAGGTAAACTTATACTTTATTACTATATAAACTATAACGCTAAGAGGGGCTTATAGCGCTCTGAAATAGCAGAATGCCTAACTAGATGAGATAGTAGATATAAGGGAGACTAGCTTAATATCTTAACTAATCTCTCTTATATACTAATATTATAATAAATTAGCTTAAGATACTATCTCAAACTATACTAAGAGGTATAAGAGGTTTATGATAAGTATATAATAGTGTTTAGAAAGGGACACTCTAACTATATACCTAACTATATATATATCTTTATTTATCTCAGCTTAAATTAGGAGTTATTCTACTCCTTAATAATACTAGATCCTCTCCTTTTAAATATATTATCCCTCTTATTATTATTATATTAATATTACTAGTATAGCACCTTACGTATATAAGATATAATGTCTAAAACACCTTAAATGTTGCTTTTACTGTAATATTAAGGATAAGCTTATTACTTATAGTTTTAATAACTGCCTATAGTGCAGCTAGGTATTATTACTAACTCCTATTAAAATTATTAACTTAGCTACTAATAATAAGAGACTACTTAAGCCCTATATTTAGCAGCCCTCTAGGGCTTATATTTAGCAGTCCTCTGAGGTTTAAAATAGGCTTTCTGCCCTATATAATACACTAGTATAATCTATTAACGTTTTAGATAGGTCTACTCAACTAGGTTTTAGATATAATAGCTCTTTTCAGTATAGCTAATTTATACTAGCTACTACTCTAGCTTAAACTATTATATAACCTATTTACTACAATTAAATATTAAACCTTAAGAACTATTACTAAAAGTAATAGATTAGTAAATCTATAGAAAGGTCTTTATAAATCCTTATTTAGAAGAAAGGAGGGGCTATAGTAACTAGGGAGGATCTTAGCCTTATATATACTATTCTTAATATCTAGGTTAGACTTAAAGAATTATTACCTAGTATATAAATGCTTATCTTTTTAAACTACTATTTAATTTATAAGTCTTCTTCTTACTTATAATGCTATAAGCTAAGCTAAGAGATAAATAAATAGTATAGTAATACCTCTATTTAACTATATCACTTAAGTGCTTCTAACTTTATAAGATTAGGTTTTCTAGTTTATTAGGTTATCTATTAAAAGGCTTACTACTTAGCTATTTAACAAATAATAGGAATTTTAGTTTACTACTAATATTTATATAAGGAAAGGACTATCTGTTATTAGTATATCTAAAGATTATAATATCTTTTTAAAGGTGTTTAGGGATTATTAGTTAATATTAAAGAAGGGGGAAAAGAATAGTAAGCTTCTTTAGCTTTATTTTTACTTCTATTACCTAGATATTAAAGAAGTAGAGGATAATTACATAGCCTCTATTACGCCTTCATCTAAGTATATAGCCTCTATAACGCTTTTATCTAAGTGTACAGCTTCTACCCCCTATTAAGGGAAGTAGGAGTTAACTAAGCTACTAATTAAGCAAGAGAAGGAATTTATATTTAACATTAAAGACTTTAATTCTTCTAATATTAAACACTAAAGCTTTAAACAGCCTAAGAAGCGATAATACTACAACTTATAATTAATCCCTAAAGTAAGCCTGAACGCCTAATAAATAGGATCTCCCTATAATATCTAAGAAGTTATATCTCTATTATCTCTTCCTAATCTTCCTGAGATTATTACTAATCCTTTAAGTAATAGTAATCCCTTAAGTAATAGTAATCCCTTAAGTATCTTAAACTCCTTAACTATTTTAGATCACTCTACTACTTTAAATAACTCTATAACTTTAAATAACTCTGCTACTTTAAGTAATTCTACTATTTTAAATAACTTTACTACTTTAAACAACTCTACTACTTTAAATAACTTTACTACTTTAAATAGCCTCCTCCCTTATTCTAATAATTAGAATAAGGAGTACCTTAATAAATACCCTTACCTGCTTAAGTCTAAGCCCTATAGTCTCTATATAAACCTAAAGTAGAAGTAAGGTATTAATTAGTTATCTATCTATAGTAGTATGTTTTCTACTGCGTTTATAGCGTTTATTTCGTCTAGTTCTAGCTTATTACTGTGAAGGTTCTATAATAGTATAAGGTTAGGATAGTTTTAATATAATATATTAAGAGGGTTTTAATTTAGGAGTTTAAGTTATTTATATCTATTAGAATATCTCTTACTAAGTAGCTTATTATAGTAATAACTTATATATCTTTTTATCCTACTTATTAGCTTCTCTATGAGGCTGAGCTTTAGTTATAATCTTACTGCTATATACGCCTCAACTTAATCCTAAAGCTTTAGATATATCTTTATATAAGGCTATTCTTAGTTATTTATATTCTTAAGTGAATTTAGGTTAAAACCTATCTTATCTAATTGCTACTAGTATTAATCCTTAATGTTATTTAGAAGGAAAGAATTAATATTAATATCCTCTAGTGGTTTATTTATCTTAGTGAGCAGTTTATTAGCTTTAGAATCTACCTCTATTTTAACCTCCTATTTATTATTTTCCTAGGTTAAATTATATAGATCTATTAGTTAACTTAACTTAATATAGTCCTAATTTCCTTAATTATATATATATTTAGTATTCTAAAGGTCTATGAAGTTAGTAACTTCCTCCTATATTATATTGCTATAAATAGTATATATAGTAATTAGATAGATAATATTATCTAAAATAAAATCTCTAGTATTAATTATCTCTAATAAAAAATACTAATTTAGTATAAGATAATAATACTTTATAAGAGGGTTAAAATATTTATAATCTATTAGTCACTAAAGCTTATATATAGGAGCTTCTATTATAACTTAATCCTAATATTACCTATACTTAGTACCTAGATATAATAAGATAATATTTAATTACCTTATTAGTAGACTTAGGCTTTACCCTCTCTATTAGTATATTTAATTCTTATCTAATTAACCTCTATAAGGAGTGCTTAGATACCTATAAAGAGAGGGGTTTTACTCTTATAGTCTACCTTAGTGAGAAAAAGCTAAATCCTAGAAGCTTAGACTATATATAGATATTATTTTATAGTACTTAATGCTATTATTATAGAGCGTTTAATATAGATTTATATAATATATTTTAAATATACGTTAATATAGGTATAAATCTAGAAGCTAAATCTCTTTAGTTTTTTATATCTATCTATAAACTATAGGAAGTTAGGTCTAAGGATTTTAAAGTTAGTGTAGTGTTACTAATTACCCCTTTATTACTAAGCTACTTTATCTAGGAATATTTATATATAATAGTTATAAATCTAGTTCTTTCTAATAGTAATACTAGCTATAAAGTAGATATACTAATAGAGGTAGCTCTACCTAAAGTTTAGGATAGCTAGTATCCTCTATAGATCCTTCTCTATAAACTTAATTACTACTACTTTAACTTTAGCTCTCTCTTCCTTATTAAAGTATTATTACTTTATATTATATTTTTACTATATTTTCTTTAACTATTCCTATAATAGAGTGCTATATCCTTAGTAAGTAAGCTCTCATAAGATCTAATTATCTTTTATGTTCTACTAATAGAAGAGATATTTAATTATGAGAAGTATATTCTCTTTCTATTCTAGATTATATCAACTATAGCGCTATAATCCTTAGTTAGTAAGCTGACGCTTAAGCGTCCTTTTACTTATATTTATACCCTCCTCTAAGAGCATAGTTACTATATTATCTATAAGGATGCTATTAAAGAAGAGGCTTTTAATAAATAGACGATAAGGCTTTAGGTTAATAGGTATACCCTAACCTATAATAAATTTAGTGAATATAGCATAGAGAGGGCGAAAAGATATTAAGCTTAACCTTATAATTACTTATAATTATAGGGGGATTCTGAGTAGGTAGAGGGAAAAAATTAATATAGTTATTGACGTAGTAGTAAGGGTATAGGGTTAAATTAGCCTAACTTTCGTCTGTAAAAACCCTAAAATCTGAGGTTAGCGGATTTACCTTAGTGGTGCACCATAGTGACTGATGGTTCACATATGGCAGGCCGTCTGTCATACATCTATCTTCTGGACATATCTATCTTCCCGACGCCTGGAATCTCAGTTGACCTACCTGTTTGTGTTTGCAGGTCTCTGAAATTTGGCTGCCTGTTCTAGGTAGCCATAATAAACCGATGAGTTCCTCATCTTCATATTAAATACACAAGCTTTTGTAACATCTGCAAGTTGCCGGCTAAACAGCGACTCATAACATTCAATTCGGCCGAGCAACCCAGGCAACCGTCAATGCCCACTAATGGATCTGCTTAGACCCAAAAAACAAGCAAAATTTCCCGAACGAAGCTCCGTTGCCCCTCTTGGAGATGCAGCGTGAACTAATTCACGCGACAACACCTTGTCTTTTGAGCGTGACAGAGCCCAATGCTGTGATACCTCATGTTCCGGCCCTGGGTCGGCAGCGAGTCATCAACTTCACGAATACAGCATTCATGTGGGAAATGGGCGAACTTGCTTGCGCATGATTTGTTACTTGGTTCTCTAAACATATACTCGTACAAAATTAGGCCATTAAATCCTGTTATCAGCGTCAAACACCGCGCTGTGCGCCGATGCTCTCTTCGAGTTCCTCTTCGGGCCCCTGGCAAACGAAAAGCTCCGAGGCGACACGCTTTTGATGTTGCCGTTCGCATCAGGCTTCAGCTCGCGAACCTCGGTCGTAATGGCGACCTCGATATCCTTCCTGATATTGCCATTTCTATGCCTGCTGGCGGTGCTCGCACTTCTGCTCATGCTGTGGGACCTGGTAGGCGGTCTTCCGTCGGCGTACGGGTCACCCCAGGCCTTGACGTCTTGCATCTTGATCTCATTGACCATGCGCTCCTCGCTTTCGTTGAAGGTGATGTTGGTGATCGGGTATGCTGAAGGAGGGCCGCGTCCGCGCCAGCTCTGGTTGCTGCCGGCGCCAAAGGTGCGCACTTCTCTTGGGGTGTTCTCGGTCTGTCTTTGCGACGAACGTATCGAGGTGATGAGGGAGCCGAAGACTGGCGTCAGCCATTGTTTGACGATGGAGAAGACCATAGGCAGGTTGGCTGTAATGACGGCAACAAATGTTTCCCGAACAGCCCACGAACCGGCAAGTTGTGCTCCATTTTGGGGATCCTGAGAAGGGGACTTGGATCAGCATTTGCCGGCACCGGACAGGGGGCAGCGACTTACAGTTACAATCAGAACACATCGAAGGGTGGCGCAGACAATGACGAAGAGACCACCGCTGAAGAGAAAGAGCAGACCCCATTTCTTCAGGGGCTTTAGCTTGGCCTGCCAAAGCATAGGAAGGGGAATCGACAACAGGTAAAGGTCCGTCGAGACATTGAATGAAAGGTAGACCCAGACGACCTGGTTGGAAATTGCTGGCTGGCAGACATCTAGATATCGCAAGTCAGCAAAACGGCAACATGTCATCGCGGGAAGACAATGACTTACTACCGGGGTCCGGATAGATCTGCCAGTTCTTGTGAAAGGGTCGACACGCTAAGAAAAGGTTTGCAACGACAACGATCCAGCTGACAATAAGGAAACCAAAGCCGACATAGATACGCATTCTAAAGGCTTTTCCCAGACCAGCCTATGCAATGTTAGACAATCACTTCGTTCGCAGGAAGACGCGAGTAAACGTACTGTCAGCCTGATGTAGAATACCAACAACGAGGCCTTCAGAGACCACAACAGAACGGAATAACTAGACCATCCACAGATTTGAATGATAGAGCCGATTACCCTTCACAAAGATCATTAGCCAAGGCCCATACTCATGTGGGGTGAGGCTTCCTACCTTAGGCGATACTCCTCGCTATCTGGCGAGAGTGCGGCTCGTTGCTCGTCAGTCATGCCATTGTTAGCCATGCCCTTCGCGATGGCTCCAACAGAATGTGCAAGGACCGTCTCTATGACATAAAAGATCTGGCCATCTTGGGGTCAGCGGGTAAGCGAAAGTCTAAGAGATGGAGAAACTGACCACTCCGACCCAGACCAGGTAGTCGTCAGCTTGGAGGCCTTTGAAACCGACTGCCCTCACTCTGGCATAGGTTCTGAGGATGGTGAAGAGAACGCCAACAGCCAGAAGCGTCCACGCCTCAATCGTGAAGGACTTCATGGCTGCCGCGGCAGCAGCAGCCGCAGCCGCCGCCGCTGCGGGATCCATTGCTGCAGCGTCGGACATGTTGAAGAGGGATGATTAACGACCGACTTGTGTACGAACCAAACGAAAGACTAAGAAAGCAAAACCACCAAAGAGAAACTCCAGGCGAGGATGTTGGCTTCCGGGGTGTTCAATTTGTACAATATTCTGAGCGCAACCCAGCTCCTGCCGGAGTCCGAATGCGCTCTCGATCAACGCATGTCAGCCCCAAAGAGTTCTGTCGATCCACTGTCATGGGGTTCCAAGGTCCATCATCACCGGCACCCTGCCATTGACTTAGCGGAGTTAACCCTGGAACGGCGTTTGAGATGTCTGTGCCTGAATCGTCGACGGGCGGGCAAGAGGGGCGCGAATCCGAAGCCATGGTGACGGATGAGTTGTGAGTGAATACGGGCTGAGTGACGGCTAGGGAATTGCAACCATTTGGTACTACTTCACCGAGGTCGTCATGCCATTACCTTCTAATCCAAATCAAGTCTCACCAAGCATCGCGATCACAAAATGTCATGCCATCTCATTCAATTCTCGCTCAATTCGATCAGTGCTCGCCAACCAAGTCTTTCTTAAGGTTTCCAGAAACGAAACATCTGTTGGATCATTGCCCCAAAGGGGGAAAATGACCCCGGTCAGCGCAGCTCACCCCAGAGAAAATAAGTACGAGCCGGTCGGGCTCAGGGGCCGTATTGTGGGAAGTAAATAAATGTGCAGAGTTCCAACTTGCTGTCTTTTCGGTAAAGTTGCCTCTGAATAAATGTATCAGCAGGACACAAGTGCCCGTTGGACACAATTTTGTCGCCATCTCCCGAACCATTGCCCTACAGAATGACTCGCTCAGTGCCGGCCGTCATATCGAAGGGTAGCATTCGACTCTTCAAGGTGACATGCGAACGACTGTGTGTTGGCGCCAACATATTCACACCCTGTTCATAGTAACACTGCCGAGACCAGAGGCTATCATTGGTCACTCGTGTTTATTGGATCCTCAATGCAGGTAACCCCGTGGGACAACGTCCAATCACGATTGCGGCCGCGGGGAACCTTGAGGAAACGCCCGGATAGCCCCGACAGATTTCCCGCGGGGACTAGTCAATAAGTAACGCCCCGATGCAACGGTAAGCAAATTTGACAACGCGTTCGGGCAGGATTGGGATGAAGACGTCGTCTGTTGGTGGTGGACCCGGGGTTGGTATTTTGGAAGTTTATTAAAGTGGTTTGCGGCCAAGGCACGAACATCTGTCGAGATCAGGGGCTGCAGACCCTGTCGCCACGCCGAAATGGGAAGTGTCCAGGTCTTGCAGAGCAGTTCACCTTCCAAAGGGAGGAGATCAGCATGCCATGGGGCCCCGGTATGCCGCTTCCGCGGTCGTCTCATTCTAATTTAGCCAGATGCACCGCGAAATCCTTCCGCACCCTTGATGGAAAGTAAGCACAGAGAGTAAGCAGAGATTCATCAGGATGACTTCTCCGACCGATTGCTTACTCTTTCTGCCATCCGGCAATTCGTCTTTCTCGAGACAGCTGATCCATTGCCGAAAAGATGGAAAAGTTTGATTGCGTCGTTGTGGGAGCCGGTAGGTCTTAGACCCTCGTGTCAATCTCAACGCTACCGAGACATTCTAGAAGGTGTTGAGGGCACTGAGACACGGAAAACCGCGCACGAAGACGTGAGATGCTGACAGAACACCGCAGGATGGTACGGTCTGGGTGCCGCGAAGCAGTTTCACTGCACGCAGCCAGAAGCCTCGCTCGTCGTCTTTGACTCCCAGCCCTCGCTTGGCGGTACATGGGCCGAGAGTCGCCTGTATCCGGGGCTGAAGAGCAATAACCTATGGGGGATGTTCGAGTATCCTGATTTTCCAATGGACAGTGAGACTTTCAACATCTACCCTCGTCAGCATATTCCTGGAGAAACTGTCAACAAGTACATCAAAGCCTATGCGGAAAAGTTCGGCATTGCCGACAAAATTCGTTCCAGCCAGAAGGTGCTCACCGCCGAGCACCAAGAAACGGTCGAAGGTGGATGGATTCTAATTGTGTCGAACGCGAGCGGAGAGGAGTCAAAAGTGTTTGCTCGCCACCTCGTCATTGCGACGGGGCTCACATCTGAGCCATGGCTACCTCACTTCGAGGGTCAAGAGTCCTTTGGTGGCAAGATCTTCCACGGCAAGGACTTCCAAAAGAACGCGGACACTCTCACAACGGCGAAGACTGTCACAATCTTTGGTTCAACAAAGTTCGCGTGGGATGCTGCATATGCTTATGCAACCGCAGGCGTCAAGGTGAATTGGATTGTCAGATGTGAGTCGTCATTATGCATTTTGTCTTGTTTCTATCGCTGACTGCGGTTGTAGCCAAGGGCCATGGCCCGTGTTGGATGGCTCCTCCATTCGTTACACCACTCAAAAAGTGGCTTGAGAAGCTTGCTAGTAAGTTTTCTGCCGACCTCTCAGACACCTCAAGTCTAACATGCTCCTACAGATACGCGGATGTTGACATGGTTCAGCCCTTGCGTATGGGGAGATGCTGATGGCTACACTGGCATTCGAAATTTCTTTCACGGTACTGCGGCGGGACGAACTATCGTTGACGGCTTCTGGAAAGTACTCGGCGACGACGCTAAGACGCTTATGGAGTACGACTCTCATCCAGATACTGCTAAGCTCAAGCCATGGACCGAAGCAATGTTCACTTCAACCAGTTTCAGTATTCTCAACTACGACACGAACTTCTTCGACTTCATCAGGGATGGTACAGTGAAGGTTTATGTCGGTGAGCTTGATCATCTCAGTCCTGGAAAAGTCCATCTTTCGGACGGAACCGAGCTCGACGCCGACGCACTGCTGGCTCACACTGGATGGAAACATGTCCCGCCGATCAAGTTCCTCCCTGAAGGTATTGAGAAAGATCTCGGCATCCCTCATACACCCGTCGACAACGCCCCACGTGAGGATCTGGCCGGCCAGAAGGATCTCATCGACTTGGCCGACAAAGAAATCTTGGAGCGTTTCCCCAGACTGAAAAACCAGCCGGTTTGGAACAAAGACTATACTCCCATGACTGACATGAAGGGCATCGATAGTGAGGATGAGGTTACACCTTACAAGTCTCTCACGCCATACATGCTTCACAACTTCATCGTCCCAGCCTCGGAACGCTTCCTGCGAAGTCGCGATACAGCCTTCGTGGGCATGGTCAGCAACTTCAGCAATGTGATTACCGCGCACATGCAGGGTCTGTGGATCAGTGCCTATTTCTCTGGTCGTCTGGCGAAAGATCCTGCAGCAGCGGTTGGCGACGATGTCGCAATGCAGAAGTTGAAGTATGATGCAGTTGTCATGAACCGGTATGGATACTGGCGTTACCCTACAGACTGGGGCTCCAACAAATGCCCCAGCTTTGTCTTTGATGCTGTTCCATATCTTGACCTGCTGCAGCAGGATTTGGGACTGACGCCCTGGCGTAAGAAGGGGTTCTTGGCGGAGTGGTATGACCCCTACGCCCCGGAAGACTATCGTGAGGTCAATGATGAGTGGGAGAACAAGTACGGAAGTCGAAAGGCTGTGGTGGCTTCCCCCTAATATTGTGGCTAGTGCCGGGCAGGTTTCTTTTGTTAATTGTGGGATCATGGAATGATGTGTAATGAAGTTTGGTCTATGGGGAGATACAGTTTTATTGGGCACCGAACGTTCATTTGAAAAAGGGCAAAAACCAAAAACCAAAATATCCTTGTGGTCGTGTACCTCGGCCGAGCCCCTCACATAACGCCCTTGGTTTCTGCTATTTTCAGCAAGTACTTCTTCGCCGAGTTTTTGCCCGCCTCGAGATCTCCGAGAATCTGCCCCAAGGCATCTAATCCTCCAGTCCGGACTTCGTAGGGATGCCCATGGAACCAGCCTTCTTGCAGGCCCCGCCCGAAGAACGAGAAAAAGAGTGCCCCAAATTCTTTGTCGCCAAGAGCTGGCCAAGGTTTGGTGGACTTGGAAGTGTGTACAGTTCCTACCATCGTAAACATCAACTCCGAGAACAATTTGTGTTCAGGCGAGCTTGGTAGAAGATTTGCAATTTTGCCTTTGCCGGGTACAAGCGCTCGATCAATCGTTCGAAGCGTGTTCATTTCAGACACAGTGTCAAGGGCGTAGATGATCGGATTATCGCCGGCAGCTTCCTTGATTTTCTCCAGCATGTGAGCCTCCCCTTGGCGGTAGTCGATCACCATGTCGCCCTTAGACTTGTCGAGTAAGGTATTGACGTAAGGAGTGCCGTTGCCTGCAATGGCAATGATGGGGTGAATATTGGAGAGAGCTGCAAGCTTGATGGCAAATGATCCGACGGCTGTGGCCCCTCCGTAGATGACCAACGGCAGGGGTGTTGTGGTTGTACTCCAGGGTAGGGGCAAACCGAGTCTCTGGTAGAGGCCCAAAGCAGCTGTCATTGCAGCCAGAGGGATCGTCGCGGCTTCTGTCATCCAACGTTATTAGACCCTGGGTCGGCGACGGTATTTAGCTTCTCAACTCTCACCTTCGAAAGTGATGTTGGCTGGAAGATGGAACGCGGAGTGAGCCCATGCGATCGAGTATTCTGCGTAACTTCCGTGGGGTGCGCCCATTTCGTGAAAAGCAGCCACGCGATCGCCCTTGCTGAAGCCTAACACACCCTCACCGACAGCCTCAATGTAGCCGGAAAGATCATCACCATAATTGCTAGGCGAAGCTTGGGGAACCCAAAGTTTTGGCATTTTCCAGTCTTTGGGGTTGGTTCCAGATACAATTGTCCGTATCAAGAGCCGACCAGGGCCGGGTGTAGGGATGGGCACATCGTGAATCTTGACCCGAAGATTGTTGTCAATCAATGCCTCTTTCATTTTTTCCAGGATTGCAGAGGAGTTTGGGTGAGTTGATTTCAAGTTCGATGACGAGAGGCCTGCAATGTCTTGCTGCTCTATTAAGCTGTTCCGGCTACAAAGGTACCGGCTTTCCCATTTATATCAGCTTTCAATGGAGTGAAACCGGCGAGTTGTTTACTCTTATCCTTGATTCTTGGGGATATATCTCGGACTCTAGTTCATCCCGAGTTATGACTACATGTCTGGTCCTACGGCGCCTCTGTTTGAGCTAATTCATGTATTACCAATCAGACGCTGCGGGTGGACTTGCTTGAAATGTCCCGCACTCCGAGGGAAGGCACTTGAAAGACAGCACCCGTCGACAACATTTCTTGTACTGTGTTATCGGACACCAGTACCCATTTGACCAAAGAAAACTTCAAACGTGGTTTTCGCTTACAAACACTCTCCTATGTTTTCAGCACAACGTGGGGCTGCTCAGGTTGGGGACATATGCAGGAGTTGGAGACTTGGAGACGTTGGTCCCACATCAATTGGGCCTTCTTGATTTGTAGATCCATCACTCGAGCAGACATGGTGCCTCGCCCGAGTGATCGTACGTAAACCCATCATCCACGGGAATTTGCACTCCCTCTTGATTTCTGAAATGTTTACTCAAAAGCGAAAGCGAAGCCATCCACTCAAAGGTGACAAATTCAACACAGATGGTGTCATCGCAGACTCTGACTAATGTCGAATTTCATTACCACGAGGCACGATAGAATGCTCCTTTTCAATGGCACAACTCTTCTGAGTAGGCGTCTCTGGACTTTTGAATCTTACCATCCAACCGTCGTTTCTTGACCTTGCCTTTCAGCCCGCACCAAGCGTTTTCAGTGTCCTCTCGACCACAATCGGGAACTCTCTTCGGTCTTATGTGCACAAACCATAGCCATGCCCAGCAAAAACTCCTACGAAATAGTTGGAGGGGTTTCCACACAACTTATCGACGATCTTGAGTTGAACGCCACATTCGAAGCAACTTTGCCGGTCCCCTTTAGGGCTTCTACGGATGGCACATGCCTTGAGCGACTCCCCCCTCCAACCCATGTGAACGACCAATTCAGATCGCCAGAAGCTTGGAGCAGACAACGAAAAATCTCTGTGTTATGTTTATTGTGCGTTGCTACCGCATTCGCGTCGGTAGCGGCGAGCTCTTACGCTTCTGCAAAGGATGCCCTGGCTGCGGAATGGAGCATCAGTCAGACAGCCGCCGCAGTTGGTATCACGACTTTTACGCTGGGTTTCGCCATAACACCCATGATACTAGCGCCTTTGTCCGAGATATGGGGTAGAAAATTGGTTTTTACGCTCACTGGTACCTTGTTTGTCATCTGCCAAATTTGTAGCGCCATTACCCAGTCATATGGAGGGTAAGTTTTGGATGTTGAAGGAATGCCTGACGTCGCAGACGGGTCTATAATATCTGACTGTATTTTGAACCAGGATGCTAGTTGCGCGCTTCTTTGCCGGCGTGGGTAGCTCGACATACTCCAGCATGATCGGAGGCGTCATCTCGGATATCTACAAACCTCATGAGCGCAATGCACCGATGGCCGTATTTTCTGGTGGAGCCCTGTTCGGGACGGGGTTGGGTCCTCTATTCTGCGGGTTCATCGTCCAGTATCTGAATTGGAGATGGATATTCTGGGTTCAAGTCATTGTCAATGCACTCAATGCACTAGCATTCCTTTTGTTCCTGCCAGAAACCCGACAAAATGTCCTGCTCCGACGAAAAGCAGACGTTTTGAACCAGTGGTACAAGGAAGAAGCCGAATCGGTGTCCGGATTTGAGGTGACAATCAGCGGAGAAGGGCAGACCGTTTTATCCCGACAGATCAAGTGGCGCACCCAGGGTGATGAAGGAAGAGGATCAATCGGCCAGATGATTGCTGCTTCCATGACCCTTCCCTTCGTCCTGCTCTTCACTGAGCCAATCGTCTTCTTCTTCTCATTATGGGCAGCGTTTAGCTGGTCAATTCTGTACCTTGGCTTTGCCGCGGTTCCCCTCATCTTTACTACGGTATATGGTTTCGATCTCTCAACTGCTAACACCATCTTCACAAGTTCGTGTATCGCATCGCTCATCGCCACTCCGATCAGCATCTACCAGGAACGCTGGTTGAACACGACATCCAATCCCAAGATCCCATTGGACAGACCGGAAAGAAGACTATACTTCAGTTGCGTTGAGAGTATCTGTCTACCGATCGGCCTCTTCATCTTGGGCTGGACGGCTCGAGAGCAGGTCCACTGGATCGTCCCGGCTATCGGCCTCGGCATCTCGACGCTGGGGATTTTCTCCATCTATTTGGCTGTTTTCAACTATCTAGCGGACAGTTACCACGGTTACGCTAGCTCTGCTTTGGCAGCACAGTCATTTTGCAGAAATTGCTTGGGCGGTATCTTCCCGCTTGTTACAGTGCAGATGTACACCAATCTCGGGTACGGACCGGCATCTAGCCTGCTCGGTGGGATCGGCCTATTGCTTACCGCAGGTCCTTGGATTCTTGTCGGATATGGCGAGACAATCCGGGCGAAGAGTCGATTTGCCAACAAATTGAATCAGTAAAGCACAATCCGGAGTTGCGATCCACTCCTCGGCGCCGGATACGGGATAGGACCCGGAGGCGCCCCGCTCCGACAGCCGCGACGATGGGCCCAAGCTCCGAAGTTTGGAATTTGCTGGAAATGTCGAACTAGCCAGCCCCCCTCAACATGAACGCTTGGTTACGTCACAGACACGGTATCCCGCTGGCGGTGTGCGCGTTGCACAACAGGGGACGTTGCAAATGCATGAGCTTTCGAATCGATGGAATCACAAGGATACTCCTCGATGACAATAAATACTCTTCGGCTTGACTGAATCTTCCCCTCTTCCATGAGTGCCGGATGCTCTCTGACCTACGTGTTTATGTCCCTTCAGCCCATTCTTTCAAACCGCCTAGGTTCTGCCAATGTCGCTCGCGCAGCACGTCACCCAAGCCGAAGGCTTCGACTACGAACGTCCTGCAGAACAGCCCGACCAATCCGGTGATAGCGAGGCCGTCTTCGGCACACTCCAACCCTTGTCGACTGACAGCCTCGTCAACAACAATGATCCACAATGGCGACGCTTGAGCTTTGCACCTGTTGAGCAGACTCACGTCGAAAAGCCCATTGCAGCATACAAAGTCTCCAACGCGAAGAGATGGGGTAAGCGCTGTGCCAAATCTTCAATCTGTTTCACATGAAGCCGCTAACACGGCATAGCACAGGTGGCCACTGGCATCGTCGCTTGTTGGCTAGCTGCAGGCATCGTCTTCGGCTTCGCTGCCCTCAAGCCAATTCTGATTGCCGAAGGAGTGTACAGCGATCTTTGCGATGCTAACGACCTAGTTACTGCCGATGGCGGCGAGTATATTCCCTGCACGGAGCAGGATTTGCGCCTTAATCTCTTTTTTGTCGTCGCATCTGTCACTGCCAACGTGTCGTCTCTTCTGGCTGGTTCAGTTCTTGATCGCTACGGTCGACGGACCTGTTGGATCTTATCCTCCATCTGCCTCACCATTGGCTGCGTTCTGATGGCCGCCTCTCACAATTTTGAAGGCTACTTCGATGGCTACTTCCTCGGCAACATTTTCCTGGCTTTGGGCGGCACATTTGTTTTTGTTTCCAGCTTTCAGTTGGCCAACGCATTCCCAAAGTATAGTGGGCTCATCATTGCCCTTGTCACCGGAGCTTTTGACGCATCCGCTGCCGTCTTCCTCATCTATCAGATGGTGTATGACGCGACTAACGGACAGCTGTCCCTCGAAAAGTTCTTCTACGCATACATTGCCATCCCCGTCCTCATCTTGATTGCTGAGATTGCCTACATGCCGGCCCGATCTTATCATACCATGCCGCAATTGGAAGAGAAAATTGAGAGGGCACAGGATGAAACACGCGATGCCCACGACTCGGATAACGAGATTTCTGACGACAGAGCGCTGAGGAAGGTCCGAAGCGCTAGAGCCGAGCGGCGACTGTCGAAGTTGGACCAGATTGAAGAGGTCGCCGGCGATGCACAAGCCCGTGAGGAGCGCGTCAAAGTCAATGAGGAGCGACAAGAGGCCAGTGGTGTATGGGGTGTACTTCACGGTGTCCCTGCCCACAAGCAGATTCAGAGTCCATGGTTCATTCTTATTCTCCTTTTGACGATCGTGCAGATGTTGCGAATGAACTACTTCATCGCAACCATCCGCGCTCAGTACCGCTTCATGCTGGGCTCTGAAATTGAAGCCGATGCAATCAATCACTTCTTCGACATCGCTTTGCCTGTTGGTGGGCTGGTGTCAACTCCGTTTATCGGCTTTCTCCTCAACAATCTTAGCGTGCCCACAACATTTGGGGTCTTGACTGTTCTCATTGTGGCGATCGGTCTTCTCAATTGCCTCCCCTTCGTATGGGCGGGCTATGCGACTGTTGTCTTTTTCGTCGTATTTCGACCTCTCTACTACTCAGCTATTTCGTAAGTACAGAACACAATTTCTTGTTTACAAAGATTCAGAGGGACTCACAAGGCTTAGAGATTACGCAACGAAGGTTTTCGGCTTCGCTACCTTTGGTCGCATCTATGGCACCATCGTATGCGTTTCTGGGCTGATCAATTTCTCTCAATCCGGCCTCGATGCCCTCACTCATGGCCCGTTGGGTGGCGATCCAACGCCCGTCAACATTACTCTTGGCGCTGTAGGCACTGCAGTCGGTCTCATTCTGACCGTATTTGTGGCTATTAAGGGACGGACTTTTGTGAAGGAGGAAAAGCCTGCCTTGGATGCTATGGAGGAGAGGCAAAGATTGCTGTCAACAGCGGGACAAGATTATGGAACTCGGGAATAACGGCACATTTGCGTATCACAGGTAAACAGGTCATTGCTAGATTGTGGAGAACAAAAGGTTGGACAGAGTAATGTTCTATGGATGCCTGGTACTTTGTAAGATCAGAACTCATTTGATGACCATACAGCCCAATTTAGACATGTTCATCTCAACCCAATCATCCAGGAATAACCGTCTCCCTCAAGCGCCAAGCAGCTCAGCGTCTCTGCGAACCTGTTTCTTCTCGCGCGAGTCTACGCCTAACCACAAGAGATCGGGTCGGCTGTAGTGTCCGTGAACATCTAGCATAGCCTTGACTTTCATGATTTCATCCAGATCAATGTCGGCAATCACAAGACCCTCTTCTTCCTCCCCGAGATCTTCTGTGAGCTTCCGACCATCGGGTGCGATAATGCAAGCGCAGCCGCCACCGCCGATGTGGTAAAGCTTTCCATCGCCGAGCTTCTGGCGATCCACGCCAGTCTGGGTGTAAAAGGAAGACGACAAAATCACGAAGCAGTTACCTTCGATGGCGTGTGTAGTAGAGAGGTTGCGGGCCCCTGGGACAAATTGTTAATTGCTTCATTCAGGTGGGGACAAAGGTTCTTGAGGCACGTACCTTCGCGACACTGAGACCAAAGCGCCGAGCCCTCGGGGAAGGAGTTGAAGTAGTTCATGGGGCGCTAAGCAGCGCAGCATACTAATTAATTAAGTCAAAACTGAGGCTTAAGATTAGCTGATTAAATGACTTTTTGTGATACTTTTAATTATTTTGATTAATTTAATTTAATTTAATTTAAATTACCTAAATAGGAAGTTAGTGAAGCTTTTATAATATTCTTAGAGGGTATAAACTTATATTATATAATAATCTAAGGTTATATAGCCCTCTATTAACCTTTCTACTTAAAGTAGTAGTTACTAATAGTAATATTACTACTTTAAATTTAGTTTTAGAGGTATTAGGTCTTCTTAAGTTATAAAGGCTTTATTAATAGCTTCTATAATATTAGAACTAATTTAGTAAAGTTAAATACCCTCTTATAATTTATTACTATTACTAAGATAGTAAAGATATTAAGGGTAAGTTTACTAAGTATTAGAAAAGTCTATTAATATAAAATCTATTACTAGATAGGGTTATTAATAGGCTTAATAATTAAGAAGCTAAAGTATTACTTTAGTTTATTAGTTTTATTAATAGTAGTATTATAAGCTTTACTATTTAATTATTAATAATATTTAGAGTTTTTAGCTTTTAGAGTAATAATAAGTAATAAAAAAGTAACTTATTAGGGTTTTAGATAAAGTTAATAATTAATAAAGTTAGATCCCTTAGTATACTATTATTCTTAGTACTCTTAAAGTTCTTTTTAGGTATTATAAAGCTATCTATAAGTTTTTAGTATATTTTAGCGTTTTTTAAGCTATTATAGGCTTTAACTAAGATATAAAATCACTATAGTAGTATAGAGGGGAGACTTTATAAGCTTAGTATAATATTTATTAAGTACTTACTAGCTATTAATAATTAATAAGTATAAGTAGCTATAAGAGTTAAAAATACTATACTAAAGGCGTTATAAAGGTATATAATTAGACTAAATATAAGTTAGAATACTATTAATTAATAAGGCTTATAAAGCTATTACTAAAGCTTTTAAAAAGTATTATAATACCCTTATAGGTTAAAATAGTATAAGGGACTAAATACCTAGCTAGAGGGCCTAGGGACAGCTTAGCTAGTAGAGGCTAAATAGATAGGAAGGTCTATAGATCTAAGGTATAGAACCCTCTATAGCGAAAACTTAGTAAGTACTTACTAAAGACTAAAAAAAAAAGAACTTAGAAGAAATAAGTAAAAGTAATATAATAATATTATATTTACTTTTTAGGTACTTCTTCTATTAATTTAACTTAATTATAATTTATAGCCCCTAAATACTTTTATAATTCTTTTACTTCTATTCTATTTTAAGAAAGTTAGTAATAATAATAGTACTATATACTTAAGTAATACCTATTAATTAAATTAAAGAAGTTATATTTAGTATTTACTAAGTACTAAGTAAAATAGTTTATATAAGCCTATATAGGGAAGATAATTTTAGTAAATAATTAGAGGATAATATAAGTTAATAAGGGGAAATAAGAAGCTATATTTTAAATAAAGTTAGAAGTTCTAAAGAGGATAAACTATTTATACTAAATACTTACTAACTAAGTAGTAAGTATATATAGGAGAATAGGGAATATAAAACCCCTCTTTATAGATTAGATAAGCTATAAAGCTAGATATCTATAGCTATAACTAATAGGCTAGCTTAAACTAAAAAACTAAATAGAATAACTAGTTAAGTACTAATATAATAGATTATAACTATAATAGCTAATTAGAATAAGCTAATTACTACTATATTAAGTAACTAAGTACTTATTAAATAATTACTTAAAGTTTATAAGAAACTTCTAAACTATAATATAACTTACTTTACTAATAAATCTATTAATATAAAAAGAGAAGATTAGCTTATTATAGTAGAGGAAACTTATAAGTATTATTTTAATTACTTTAATAGTTAATATATTTAGTAAGTTTTAAGTATAATAAAGTATATTTTATAAATAGAATAGTAAACTTATTAGTAAATACTTATAGATATATTAGAGAAGTAAATTAACTTTATATAAGATAACTTTAAAATCTTTATAAAAAAGTAATATATAGTATTTAAGTTTTAAAAATAGAACTACTATAATATTTTAAGATAGTATTATTAAAAAAATAATAAGAAACTTATTATATACTAAGCTTATTAGAAGTCTATTAACTAAGCCTTTAGTAAGTTAAATATAGGTAATATAAAGGCTTATATATTCTTTTAGAGTTTTACTAAGATTTTAAAGGATAAACTTTTTAAATAAAATATTAATTATACTAATATATATATAATTACCCTATATATATAGAGATTATAGGAGATTATAAAAAAGAGGTATATAGGAAGGCTTATTAACTACTCTAAGTTATATAAGTAATTATATTTAAGTTCCTTAAACTACTCTTATAAGAGTAACTTATAACCTCTTTAATTAGTAGATCTAAAGGAGTACTATTTAGAGACCTTATCTTAGAATAATTATCTAGTAAATCCTTATATAACGCCTAGTTCTAATAGTAAGCTACTTAACCTCTAGAGAACTTAATATTATAATTATAAGAAATATAAATATATTTCCTCTAATTATATTAAACTTTATATATAACTTATAAATAGTAATTAAAACTTAAACCTAAAAAAGGGTAGGATTAATATTATTATAGTTTCTTATATAACTAATACTAAAGATTTAAGAAATAAATAAATATAAAAGTAACTTTAAAGGGTATTATACTAGAAATTACTTTAGTCCTTATAGACTAAACTATTAAAAGTTAAGTAATTATACTCTAAATATATAATAAACTTAAGTTAGTAATTAATATAAATACCTATACTATAGTTAACCTTATATAAGAAGACCTTATTAAGAAACTCTTATTAAAAGAAACTATTAATATTATAGCTCTAAAGCTAATAGACTTCTAAGGGAGATTTATACCTATTAATAAGGTTTATTAACTTATATTCTTCTTAATTAATAGCTAAGGCTACTTATAAAAAATTCACTAAGTATTTATAACTAGTTTATACTTTAAAAGGATAAGAGATATCCTTTTATCTAATAACTTAATAAGTAGAGAAGATATCTATATAAATACTTATATTTATACTTAGTTATATAATTATATTTTATTTATTAAGCTAAAAGTAATAATATAAGAAATTATTAAGAATAGCTAAAAAACTTATATAATATACCTAATAAAAGTTTTAGTTTTAAATAAAAAGGATATTAATACCTTAAGTGAATACTTACTAAAGAATAAATATAAAAAGAAAATCCTTAAAGAATTTTAAATTTTTATAGATATTTTTAATAAAGAGAATATAAAGAAAATCCTTAAACTAAAAAGAGTAGTATATTATATTAAACTTAAATTTAGTAAAAAACTTCTATATAAATTAATATATTTTATATTAGTAGAATAACTATAAACTTTTACTAAGTATATTTAAGAAATAAAAATAACTAGATATATCTATTATTTAACTAGTTCTATAGGAGTACTAATCCTATTTATATTTAAAAAGGATAGTAATTTATAGCTATATATAAATTATAGAGGATTAAATAAAATTATAGTAAAGAACTAATACTTTCTACTACTAATTAATAAGTTTCTAAATAGGCTTATTAGTATAAAATTTATCTTAAAAATTAATTTAAATAAAGCTTATTATAGAAACTTATTAATTAGTAGTAGAAAGTATTNAATAAAGTAGATAGATAGAAAACTATATTTAGGACCTAATATAAGTACTTTAAGTATATAATAATACTATTTAGGCTTATTAATACTTTAGTAATATTTTAAGTATATATTTACTAAATACTTANTTACTAACCTTCTAAATACTTACTATATTATATACTTAGATAATATCTTAATCTATTTAAATATTAAAGACTAATATATAAAAAACTTATACTTAGTCCTATATTATTTAAAAACTATTAAACTTTTTATAAAATTAAAGAAATATAACTTCTACTAAATAGAAGTTAATTTCCTTAGGTTTTATATTACTTAAGATAATATTAAGATAGATCTAAACTAAATTTAAGTAGTTACTAAATAGCTAATACTAAAATCTTTCTAAGATATCTAAGTTTTCCTTAGTTTCTATAATTTCTACTATAAATTTATTATAAAATATTCCTATATTATAACCCTTATAAATAGTATACTTAAGGGAAACTAAAATAGTATAAAGTTAGAAACTTTTATCTAAATAGAGGAAATATAAGCTATATTTAAAATATTTTAGAGAGTATTTACTAAAGTTTTAATACTAAAATATTATAACTTAATATTAGAAACTAAAATTAAAATTAATATATCTACCTAAGTAGTATTTAGTATATTTTTATAGAAGTATAGTACTATTTAATACTTAATAGCCTTTTAGTTAAAGAAGTTTTTAGATATAAAAAGATATTAAACTATAAGGTAATAAAAACTTCTTATAATTATAAAAAGCTTAAATTACTAAGTATAATACTTATAAAAGCTTCTTAAGAAATTTCTAATACTTACTAACTATATAATATTAAAAAGAGTACTTATTATACCTATATAGGATATTTATAAAAGGTTTACTTAATAGGTTTACTACCTATCTATATTTAACTTTAAAATCTAATATTAGTTAGAAGTTATTAACTTAGTAAATAAGTTATTATAATACTCTAACTATATAGTAGAGAACTTTAAAGTAGATAATATACTCCCTACTCTTAGAAAGAAACTTAAATTTATTAACTAGCTTTTAGTAATAAATTATTAATATATTACTAAGCTTAAAAGGATTATAGCTATTATAAGAACTTATATCTAAGCTATTTAGTAAAATATATAAAAACCTTACCTAAAAACTAGCTCTAAAGTTAAGAGATTCTTACTTTTAAGTTAATATTACTTTATAAAAAGTATTAATAAGTTACTATATTAAAGTATATATATTAGTATTATTACCTACTTAAAATTATATATAGGTATTATACTAACTAC